CGACGGCGACGACAGACGCAGATGATGGCTACATGTACAGACACATCTGTGTCTGTACATAATAAAAACATTGCATACAACTCAAGGAAATATAATATACTCTATTTCAACACTAAAAATGGCAGTTAAAGCAATTATTGTAAAATCTGTGCTTGTCATCCGACCATGACCTCCATAGATGGCTATAGTCTGTAATAATCTCTTAAGAGATCATTACAAAAAAAGTGAACTTTCTAGAAAAAAAAAAGTAGGGACTAAATTTGAATGTAGAAATGGATTCATTAGCCATTGGTATTAGTAAGAATGGGATATTGTTGTTTACCCCAGGAAAATTCATTTTTTAGCCAAAATGAACAGTTGTTATCCCTTTAGTCTGACCCTTTAATTTTCACTCCTAAACCAAGTTCAAATATAAACATGCAGGCACACACATTACATGAAAGTAAAAAGAGAAAATTGCAGTCTGCAAATGTGTGAAAACTGAGCTGACAATGTAACATGCCCTAATGCAGTGGGTCAAGCCACCACTCACCTCCATAACTTCTTGATGATCAATGTAGTTCTGATATACTTTTTTCATGGTTGCTATGTATTCTTCTACACTTATTTCCTCTTTGTCTTCAAAGGGTGAAAACATCTCCACAAATGACATTCTAAAAAGGAAAATTACATTCCGATTGATGACTCATTTACGTTAAAAAGCACATCTGTATCAGTCTTATCATTTCATTTAAGTTTAAAACACCACTTGACAGTTTACCTGTAAATACGTGGACAAAAACACATACCTGCTCATCTCACTGGAGTCCAGTGAATGAATTGTGAATTTGTTGAGAGGAAGAGATTCTGGAAGCTCCCCCTTCTCTTTGCAGTCCGTCTGATTGAACTTAGGAAGATGGGAGAACCAGATGTTAATGGCAAGATTACGGGGTCCAGCAGAGGAAACATGATGGTACCACCTAGAAGGTATAAATAGACAGTCTCCCTTCTCCATACTAGCTGTCCACCAGGGAACATTTCTGAACCCTGGAAATTTTTCCATGTCTACTTTTTCAATATCTACTGAGCTGTAACTTCCTTTTTCAACGAAACCATCTTTTTCTACTAAGTCTTTATATTTCTGAAAGAAATTCAATAATACATCATTACAATAAAATGTTGAAATACTACATGATTACCCTACTTGATGATAACAATATACCAATAATTTATCAGAATTTTTAATTTTTCATCAAATTTGATAACAACCACCTCAGTAACAAACTTTATAATATCAGATATTTCAAGATATAGATAATGGTCATGGAGCCAACAATGACTAATTTCTTCTCAATTACAAAGCTTAACCATGCCCTGTTGTACTGAAGGTATTCAACTGTTTTCATGTTATATTAAAATATAACTGATATCTGCAGTGTCAGCTCTGAGAGAAGATTATGTATTTATTACATATCATATCTTGATCAACACCCATGAAGACACCTCAGGGTGATATCAAGTCATTGAGACATTTCTTCATTGCTGACACCACAGCTAACTTTGATCTTATTTGTCCAGTTTTTGATAATAACTTTCGGTTCTTTATTAATAATCCTAAAAGATGACCAAACACCATACCTTATCAATGAATATTAATTCCTTGGATCCATCCATGAGACAGTTAATATTGTCAATATTGTCAAAATGCAGCACCGACTTTGTTCCTCCACTGCTGAACCAGATCACAGCATCCTGCAGAAACCTAGTGTACCCTCCACACAGGATAGGCTTGGGAAGGTGGAACTCATCTGAAATACAACACTGATTAGAATGAGGTTTTGATCTTTCTTCATTCCACAAATGCTAGGAAAAAATGCATGTTGTAGCCTCAGTAAAATGGTTCACAGCACTGCAACAACATTGGTCATTTCTGTTACAAGTTTTCTAATACTACTCATTCATATAGCATGTCAAATAAAACCTTGGAACCTTTTATTCTTACAATCATCTTTTAAAGCCAGCTAATATCCACTGCTGACAGGCACCTAACAATGTTAATTCAAAATGACTGTGTTCATTGCAACCCAGTCTCAGTAGCTGCACAAATAACTTTAATCACATAAAAACGTAGGTCTTCTAGAAAATATAAATTCCACCTGATCTTGTTAAATTGAAAAAAAAAAGAAGAATCAAATGCATATATTTATGTCTTACCCATCATTTCTTTGTGCAAACTCTCAACCATGTAGATGTCAGCTTTTCGATAGACTTTGACGAAAGATGACAGTGACAAATCTTGCACACCTAGGGATCGGTTTTCTTTCTTTCCTTCTTCTACATCCACTTTAATGTGTCCATACTGTTTCCTAGAAAAAACATTATTTATCATATTTCCTAAAGGAGAAAATGTAACCTGGATGAGATAAACCAACCCTAGGCTTATAAGAAAACAATATATCTATAATTTCAATCTTTAACAATAAATGAGACAATAGAGAATTCTGAAGGTACACTTTTCTAAGAGTTCTATCTAAATTTGTTTTCTTATGAGAAGCAACTACATTGCACCATTAATCATTGAAAATGTTTATCAAGTGTTTTTTTTTCTTTTTATACATTTGATTGTCTTATAAAACCCTGTCCGTTAGACAATTTTCCATTATAAATAAATTACAACTTTAACAAATACTAAAGGTCACGCAATAAGGGTAATGAATACTAATAATATGTGTCCTTAGCCTGAAAAACAATAAGATTCTTCCTAGTTTTAAAGGAGGCATATTATCATTCTGCAGAAATCAAGATCCACCTTACACTCTTCTCTTATCAATTCTACTGAAAGAGGATATGAGAATGGGATCATCTTTAGAGAAACTTGAGATCAATTCACTCAGGCAAAAAATAAGTTGAACAAAGATGGACCTGTACCAAGATCTAAAGAAGAAAAATGTATTCCACTGAGCTACATTGTCGAAAATAATTCTTTTCAATATATCTGAATTTGACCAATGTACCTTGACAGCACAGAACCAAAGAAATATCAAACCTTCATACTGTTAGGACATTTTGCCCATCAAATAGAAATTATATTAATAGACAGCAAATATAACTTTTAGATTAAAAAAAGATTTACATCTCAAATGCACAGAAATCCCTGATTAAATAAAGCTGTTCTTTAAATTAGCCACCATGACAATGTACATCTGAAAAGCTTTTTACTGTGCGGGTCTGCAGGTGCCGTAAAACTTCAGTAGGTGCTACTGATTATTTACGCATCATATATTGAAAAAAAAAAATCCCTAAATGTTGAGTTTCAGCCTACTTTTGCCTGTGTTCTTCAGCTATGCATAAATGGAAATTTGGATCATTACTTCTGACATTGTTCTTTCCCCTAAAGTAGAGGTATTCATCTGATGGCAATTTGTAATTATATTTTATTAATTTTAATAAGTAATTGCCGTAGTTCTTAGATTTTAAAACTTACTCAGAGAATAGTCTATGAAGTCCCTGAACTTCCAAGATCAAATAGATTTTGCATAGCATTTTTCTTCCTTTTTTAAAGTTTGTCATTTTTTCAGGTGTCTGTCCTAGTGGTTTCATTCATATACATGTACCATATGCCAAAAAAAAGTGTGTGTGTGTGTGTGTGTGTGTGTGTGTGTGTGTGTGTACAGTGTGCAAAATGGCTTTTCAATATTTTAAAAAAATTAAAATGGCATGTAAGAATCTCCAGACATTTATCCCCTCTCTTTATTTTCAGTAATAATATAATTTTAGTAATAAATATGTTGAAGGTGTGACTGTGTGTCAACCTTCGAGCTTTCAAAAAGATCAGGAAAATACGTGTCGACGTTTGATAAAGAATAAAGACCAGTGAACCTAAAAAGACCATATGGAACTTCAAAACACAAAGCGACCCTACCGAACTGTACAGCCAACGACAACAGTCAACCAACCTAAGATATTCATCGGTCCACAAGTTAAACGCTGGTATTTCTTTGGCCTTCCCCTTAAACAACAATGGTTTTCCAGGTTTGATGTAGTTGTTGTAAAACGTTTCTGGGTCAGGCCATGTGTCCGTGTGTTCAATTGTGCCTTCTGCTGGACGATGGGAACCTAAATACTGCAAATGCCCTGGAATCTCAGATGCAATGTTGCTAGTCAAAAAGCCAAGTACCACAAAAAAACAGAAATACGATGTCGAAATTCGCAGCATGGCTGTTCTTTTCGGCTAAGTTTTTCTTCTACACGGTTTGTCTCTGTGCTACGTGTACAACTACCTGGCTCACTACTCGTTTCGGGTTAAAGCGCTGAAATGCATTTAGAATCATTCACCCGCGACTTTTTAAAGGGCGCAGCCATTGTGGATACAGCATCGTCACGTGACGCATATACATATGCTTCAGCGCCACCTAACACCATCATCAGCTAGCTTGAATGTATCTGGTTTATTGATGTTATTGCAAGTCAATATGTAAGTTGATTACATTTTAACTCAATTGTCAAATTACTTTTGTATGGACAATGACCTGTATATTTCAAGACAACTAAACGCAGAGGAAAGAAGAATTTGTTAACCACGTACACTTTATATGTTGCCACTTGTACATGGTACTTGTCTAAAATTTTTTAGACAATAACTTGGTAAAATTTGATTGAGTTACTGAGTTGGTGTTAAATTCTTTCATTAAGTCACTATAATGCTACCCTGTGTATATCCAGTATATATCTATAATATTGATGGCATTTTTTTTTCAGTATGAAACCAATGATTTGCATGCATGCACATGACCATATGTGCTACCACTAGTACATGTATTGTATTTGCTGAGCAAAACATTATAATCATTTTTATATATGCAACATACCCCTCCTTTTTTTACTTCTCCATAATGGTTATTTCTAGGTTCATTTATTTATCAACTGATTACATTTGCAATAAAACTTTGCTTAACAATTTGCTGCTTTCATCTTGTTAATCAATGTCAATCACCAGATACAAATTGAGCTACCCTGTATTATGGCAGACAAGTACTGAGTAGTGCTGAGGGCTGAAACCCAGGGTGATATATGACCAATGCACCATGCATATTTCATAATTTCCAAGTGCCCCTGATTATGCAGGACATTCCTGCATTTTAAAGGAGTGTCTCACATCCAGCACTGACAGTTAAATACTGGCATTCCTTATTCCTCATAAACACCTAACATATATGATGTCTTAGAACCTGTCATATACCGGTATCTCCCTTTTCCACACATCACCTCAAGACTCCACTGGAGTTTTACAGAATATTATTGCAGATTTTAGAGATGAGACTCTTCCTGATTTATCCGGGTATTTGAGCGTTGTACAGCATTCTGTGTATTTATCTCCTATCTCAACCGTATAGAGCTGCACACCTTTTGCCCTTTTATATAATTTTCAAGATATTTACAAAAGATTCACTTTCATACTCCCAGTATCTTAGATTTTCCTTACAATTTAATTTATTTATTGTTTAAAGTAAATGCATTACAACTTACATGTGCATCTGTCTCTTGCCAGGAAATCATTTGTCAATATCATATATATATATATATATATATATATATAATATATATATATATGTGTGTGTGCATATTTGAAAGTTTATATGTATAGTCCACATTCACATACCCCAGTACTGGGTACGTATGAAGCTGAATGTAACACTAACCCACTCTTTTATTTATCTAGCCTGAGATTACAGCTCAAAGGTGCATATGTAGAGCTGTGAAGTGATAAACTCATATATATATATATATATATATATATATATATATATATATAATGTTGCTAAAAACCAATTACTGGATGCATGGTTAAAAAATACCCTCTCTCGTGTTTCAATCCTTTTTGTTGATGTGATACATATATGTAGTAATAAAGAACATAAATGTTTGTGCGTGTTAACATTTCTATAAAGGTTTTGCATGATTGTTTAAAGTGTTGGTTAATTCTCTCATTTGAACTTGTGGAGTTGTTCTATTTAAAATTCAACCACAGTTGACCACATATTCTATTCAAATACATGTCCCTTACTGGTACATTAATTTTTAAGTCATTACTATACACTTGTTGTAAATGATATTTCTACAACAATCAGCACAAAACTGACAAAAAACTTCCTTCATATAGTAAAAATTGTGTTAAATATTTTCTATCACAAACATTAGTCATGTACATTGGTTTCTGTAATATATATGCTGCAGCTGATTGGAGGTCTGTTTGCATTGTTCAGTTAGTCACATGACCTGCCATGTGCTGCACAAACACCAAGGCCAGCCCCAGAGTGGAAGACACATGCAGCCATGTTGTTCTGCCACCTTACTTATTCTAGGAACTAGAGGTACATTTGATCTGTTCATTTATGCATGTCAAGCATAACATTTTGATAAACTCTTAGTTAACTTTCTGCAGATACATTATAGTCTTGACATACTACTGTGCCAGTCTATAGCTTCCATTTTCTTAACTGTTTTATATGATCAATTTAATAGTTATTTTTTTTGTCAAACATTTTACCCAAGGTAACCTATTGTTGTTGTGCATTACTGTATGCTGCTGAAAAATACACTTGTTTATTGAGATACTTGTATTTTCATTTCCTCACATGCAGCCTTACCCTGATGCACTTGAGGTTTTCCAAAGTGCTTATAATTGAAAGTACCACTCTATTTAATGTAATATTGAATAAATGAACTGACTATTATTCTTATTGGTTAAAGTAATGGGTTTAATGACAGAGTCTCATAGGGCATATTTAAACATAATCAAATATTAGGCTGCTTTGTGAATATATTTTTTCTTCATGCAGTGTCACTGCTGACTACCAGATCCTAGACACCCAACCTAGAAGAATTTACTCCTACCTTCAGACATAACAAGTAAAGGTGAGGACTTGTTGAAAACACAAAATTTTCTTAGTTCTGCCAAAATATAGTACATGAGATAATAATAAAGGGTAAATGAGGCATATGAAGAGAACATCTTGTTTGAAAGGTGCAATCCCAGCATGCAACATCAGCTGTGTGGGAATCTTGTTCATGATCAAGATCATATTCTCCCAACTGTACAGAAGGTGGTAGTAGACATGCACTTAGGGCTCAGTCTGCCTGGATATTCTTAACTAGCTAGGTGAATAGAAACAAGGTCAGTAGTACAACACAGACCTAGATAAGGACTATGCCAGAATATTGAAATACAACAGCAGAATATCATTCATTTTACTTTAAATGGTCTGGTTGGTACATGCAATGCTTAATTATCAGAATGTCTTCATGTATGCATGCAGTGAACCAAGTTATTACTCAAATATATTCATCCACATTTATATAGTTTTACTGTATAGTTTGTCTCCCCCCCTCCATGTATGAATGCTTCATCATGTGAAGAATGGAATTTATGCGTAATTTTATTTACATGTATAAAATGTATGTATTTCTTTGTGAATACTTAATGCACTGAATTGACTCTCTATATTTTTATCAATATTCCATGTGATCCAGTTGATTATATTAATTGAGTCGTTACTATAAACTTTGAATGATTTCATTATCAATGATCAGTCATATCTCAGAAATTTCGCTTAGTTGTCCTATTTTGAAAGACCACATGTTCTCATTCTTTTATGACTCGGATGAGTCGGATGACCCAAATATTTCATGTTAAATGGCCCAATATTCTTAACAATTAGATTATTTAGTATAAAAGGTCTCAATTACTGAAATAAGAGGGGTTTTCTTGAAATTATAAATTTTTTTTTCCAACAATTTAGTCTCAGTAGATAATAATAATAGGTCCATGGCCAGCATTTTCAAGGGGGATAAAGGGGGGGGGGGTTCTTTTTCTGAAAAAGTAGACTTTTACCATGGAACTCCCATTGAGTACTTACAGTAGCTCAAAATTTTACCCAAAATGGACCTTTATAGAAAAAAGGGAGTTTGTTTGAACCCCCCTGGCTAAAGGCTTGGAATGATGTGTGGACATATGTTTAGATTCATTTTTTATACAAGTTTTTTGTTTGTTTGAAACCTTCAGTTAGCAGTAACAAATATACAAACAGTGAACTGTTGTATGAAGGCAGAGTGGATTCGAAGAAGTACTCCATGAAAAAGATAAATTATGATCACGTGCATGATACCTTCATGTCACTATCTGATGAAAGTTTCATCTAACTAATTCATTCTTTCAAACCATGGTTTAAAAATACCTTATTTCCTGATCAACTTGGTCAGTATCTATCTTTAGAGGTTTCAAGGTGTTTGGAAAAGGAAGAGAGAATATTGATTACTATACATATATTATCTGTTTCTTATGAGTTATTCAGCTGTCAAAATATATGAAAAATCAATTGGAAGAGGTAAATTTACTAGTAGATGAAAAGTTAAAATCAGTCTTGGACAAGTTGTTTTGTCAAAATATACTGTTAGGGAAAGCAATCAGAGGACCTAAGTCAAGTTTTAGATCACACGTCCTTGACCAGAGTTCTAACAGTGGGTTACCTCAATCCAGCAGATGCTCTCAGTTAGTGATTCCAATCATTGGGGAGCTCCCACATCCCTCCCCCCCCCCCCCCCCCCCCCTCACCTACTTCCTACTTGGCTTTGACAGAAGGCTTCACCAAAGGAAGTAATATGAGTCCATTTATAAAGTATGATTGAGAAGCACAGCTTTGCTCAGAGATGAACCTTGGTGGTAGCTATTGTTCTAGTAGATACCTCTTGTCAACAAGGAAAAGCAGATTAGAATCATATGTATGCAAAATTTAGTGTATGAATTCGTAAACCTGGCGATATAGGGGATAGATTTCTTATCTGTGTGTTAAGTTTGCAAGGGGCAGATCTAGATATTTTGATTTTCAAGGACAGAGGAAGCTTGATATTGTGGTCCTATTGGTTATCAGTAACATTATAAACTCTTTGCATAGTTTTTGGTATTGTTTGGAATCTATGTCCCATGAAGTGCTGTTCCAGTAATTCACTCAGTTTCTTTATTTGATTGTTTATTTAATTATTTTACAGAAACATTTGTTTTTCATGAATGGATGAATGCTTGTATGTACTCAGTATATAAATGACATAAGGGGTCCTTGAGCTGTTTTAATTGTAGGGGGCTAATAATTACTGATACTTTTCATGCCCAGTGCCAATTTTACATGTTTTCCATTCATTCAAAAATTGTATTTTTCTTATTTCTTGACATAATGTGCCACTCTACATGATTTACAATTTTCAAGATTTTCTTGAAGGTGATGGAGTTTTGTCAATTTTTGCCTGTTGAAGTTACCTCATATACATGTATATATATGCATTTAGTCAGCAGTTAATTGTAGAATTTGTGTATATTGTACATAAACAAGGAAAATAACAGATTGTATACTGTAAAAAAGTAAAATAACAGATTGTATACTGTAAAAAAGTAAAATAACAGATTGCATATACTTAACATCATTCAAGACTAAGTTATTCCATATATTTGAAGGTGTTTGCATTATTGCAGTAGTACAGTGAAGCAATTTTTTTAAATTCTGCTCTCAGTTAGTAGCAAGAGCAGCACCTCATCACATGGGGCTAATGATACTGTAAAGTATTTGCAGTTTTCATTCACCATATGAATGTTGAAAACATTTTTTACATTGTATATGGTCTGTGTCTGTTTGAATCTTTAAGTAGTTAATTTGTTTACAGTTTTTGTATGCTGTAAGGTGGAAGTGGAATAACTGTTTTGAATTTGAAATTTCTTCCAAGTTTCTTCCCTCCTGTACATATTTAACATGTGTTATGAAGACTTTAAACATATTTATAACCAGATTCATAATTAATCTGAGGAGACAATAATTACAATGAAAGATAAATACCAGTATCATGTTATGTTATTTACCATATGTATATGTTTTTCAGTTTCTGAAGAAATTAATTTTCCAAGCTACTGAAGATACTGCTTGTGTATAAAAGAGAAATGGACAGAAGTAAAAGGTACCTATGTATATTCATTTAACTTAATATATTAATTTACTAGTCGGCATACTACATGTAGTCCTTTCAATGTGGCTTTGCTATCTTGGTTAAGATATCTGTATTGTTATGTATATACTATGAATTCAGGTTAGACTTTCTGCATTCACAAAAATCTACAGAATGTCATACTCTTGTAATATTTTGATTGCTTAGATTTTTGCTTTCAAGCATAGTGCAATGTTATCTTGTTTGATCTGGATGCAAATTCTCCCAACTTGTAACATGACTGATTAAAGGTCATGCAAATAGCATTTAATTAGTGTCTGGAAGGGTTGCATCTGTGTCTAGGGCTTGAACAATAGCAAAACACATGGGTATCACATAATACATGTATATGGATACATATTAACTGAAATTGAAGGCACAGTGTACAGAGACTATTCTGATAAAATGGGTAAGGCTTACAAACACAGACTAAGTGCATACACACAAGGCAAATACCAGGTCAGCTGGGCCATTGGTTTATGTCTATGTTCATGTATAAGCATTTTGCTTTATATGTACTCTGTATATAGCCAACTGAGATGAAGGTACTAATATATGCAATAAGTTGAGATGTAAATACTACTGGGTTTGGTTAATTTTGGCCAGTTACATTGTGGGTCAGTCTTCGGAAAATGATAATTTGCTTTTAACAAAAGGGCTTTATTACTTCTTAAGTTACAATGTTTACAGTACTATCAAGAGTATTGTTCCATAGTAAGATGTGCAGTTATGTAGTGTTTTGAATACATGGTATTCTGACTTTGTGTTAAGTGACTTATCTGTCAGGTATGTTGCAGTACATAATATTGTGTGTATGAAGTGTCTGGTATAAGCAGTGTCTTGTGTGAAAATGGATAAGGCAAGGCAGGTGGAATACTGACTAGTCCTTAAATACAATCTGGTTGATTATTTTTGGTAAGGTTCAAAGTTTTATGGATATTTCACAAATCGAGTCCAGTTTGATGTGAAAATAATTTAATGTGGTGCCCTCTGTGTGTGTGTTATCAGGTATTTCAGCTAAAGTGCTCTTTCATAAATTCAAAAAAAATTTTTCGCGTATTCTATATTTTGTTTCTATTCTTACCAGATAGAATGGCCACATCAGAGAAGCCTCCAGACTTTAATGACCTTCTTGCTGCCTTTGATATTCAGGACCTTGGTGGAACACCTAATGGAATCACAGACACAAAGAATACTATTGGTAGGCCGCCTGAATTAAAACTTCCCCTCTGTTCTGAGGAGAAGGGAGTTAAAAAAATTTTAATTCTTTTATCAAAAGGTGTATACCATTTGGTATAGAATAAGTCTCTTTTATACATATATTAGTGATTTGGCCTAATGTGAAATGTTTATACTTGATTATAGTTAAAGCTTAACATTCAGAATTGAAATATATTTTTATATTTTATAGACATAGATGTGTGCAGAATTCTCATAATATTATATGCTGTTTCAAAAGTTTCCTCTACCAATGATTATTTCCCGAAGTAATATTTTTATATTAAAATATCATACAAAGCTACTTATCTTTCTCAGCTTAGATCTTAAAAATGATAAAACCCTTCAAATGAAAGTACCCGATTTATAATTTTCAGAAAAAATAGATGACTCACCCAAAAGGAAAATGAAAGAAGATACAGCAGGACAACCATATGAACCCAACTCCAGTGACAAAATTAGCCCTGTTGTAGTCCCACAAAACACAGAAGTCGTCAATGAGACCCAAAAGAAAATTGAGACTGATTCAATTAACAAACAAAAAGAAGATTTACCGAATGAAAGCTATGCCAGAAACCTTTCTGAAAAAAGCCAAGTCAGGTCTGGTGATACTGACAACCTTGAAAATGTTGAAAATCTATCAAATGATGCCTCAATCTTTCAGACAGACAGCTTTGAAAAGTTAATAAAAGATAGAGTCTCAGTTGGAACCATGATTACTCCAGATCGAGAAGTACCATCAAGCATTGAGTCTACAGATCATGCTAATGTGAAACAGGAAAAAGAAGATAAAAACTGCAACAGCTATGCAAGTTCTAAACAAGACAGTTTGTGCAGTGCTGCTAGTACTCATTCTAGACCTGGTAGCTCAAATAGTAGTATGATGTCTGACAGATTTACACCCAGTGAGAATATTATGCTCAGTTCACCTCACAGTGCTCTTTCTTCTCCAGGCGCTCATGTTAAGACTGAACCTATGGAAGTTGAAGAGATGCCAAGTCAGAAAGCATGTGATGAAATCCGTGCCAGCTATAATATTAATGCAAGCCACCCTACATATGCACAAGGAAATAATGCCTTTTCCTCAAGCACTAAAAGTAGTCGCAAAAGTAACAATGTACATCGTGTCACAGAGGTAGTTGATTATAATAGCACTGTGAAAAGTATTGGTGCTGTGACATCAGAGAGAGGCACATTGCCCTGTGAAAAAAATACAGCAGAAACAACTGATATTATCCCTGCTGCCAGTCAACCCCCACATACTCCCATACGTGAACAGCAGGTCAGCTCAACAAGAAAAGAAGAACAGGTCAGCTCAACAAGAAAAGAAGAAATGACTTCTCATGATGTAAATGTAAATAGAACACTTAATGAGTTAAAGTGGCTTACCCAGGGCAAGACCCACCAGAAAAAAGTTACACAGTCTAATAACCAGAACCAATACACAGCAGGAGTTAGGCCCCAGACAACAGCTGGCTGGAGGAAAAGAAGAGCTAAAGTTGGACATCCGGGTGCTGACATGCACCCCAGAATGCGTTCCCCATCAAGGCCTGTTGTAGTTAAACAAACTGGTTTCATTCCACAAGGGCAGCTTACTTCTACTAATCAGCCACAACAAAGCCAAAATGGTGGAGCTCAGCCTCTTTATTTCAATCCATCCTCAAATGTAGTTCCATCAGTATTGAGGATGACAAGACAGCTGCCTGTGAATACTTCTACCACTGTAACTACAAACCACTCACATTATCACACCCAACATATGAGGTCAGCACAACCATCACAGTTCAGTAACCCAGCACCTGCTATGATGTTGATACAGAGGGCACCTGCTCCAGCAGTTGCACAAACAGCTCCTCTTGGACCACTGTTAATGCCATCTAGTGGTGATGTGATTGCAATTCCAGTTTCAAAATCAGCACAAACTATGGCAAATGGTATCAGTTCTGCCATTTCCATACCTACCACACAAACTATTGTGAAAACTGTGTCTGTAGATACTGCAACAAACCCCCTGGGGCCCAAAAATCCTATTCCATGCTATGTTCCACAGCCACCACCAGAAAAATTCAAAATGAATATTCCACCAGGGGGGTACAAGTGTTTAGAATGTGGAGATGCTTTCAACTTGGAATCAAGTCTTGATTATCATAATCAGAGAAGAAGTATGATAATATCATTTCTGTGTGATGCATGTAACAAGGCATTGATATTTTACAACAAGTGTGCTTTGTTGGGTCATGTGCGTTCACATGCAGAGAAAGGTGTAGTTGTAAAAACTTTCAAAGCTGTAGTGACTCCTCTGCCAAAGGAACTTATGCCTCAGCTCAATGGCACTCTTAATATTACTGTGAAAAACATTGAGCAGAAGTGCAATGCAAAAGAAGTTGTGCAAAATTCTGAAAAAGACACATTAAATGCTCCCACAGAAATTGCAATTAAAGTGGCAAAGAACACTGAGAAATTCACAACAGTGACACCTAAATCTCCAAGTTCTGTGAATATCAAATGTTCAGAGTGTAACATACGTGTTTCATCAAAAATTGCTCTTAAAAACCATTTTCGAAGCAGTGCCATTCAGTGTGCTCAAAGATATGAATGCTGGGTGTGTCAAAAATGCCTTCCATCCAACTGTAGTCTGGTTGCCCATCGTAGGATTCATTCGCGCCACAAACCTTTCACCTGCCCAGAGTGTGGAATTATCTTCAAGAGTGATTGGGAACTGTTCAACCAACATCTTCAGGAGAAATGCCTACATTTTTCAAGAATTACAAAATATGCATGCACAAGTTGTCCTGCATCATACGATGATATTCAATATCTAAGACAACACATCATGTTCACTCATGGTGAGTCTTACTACAAGTGCCAGTCTTGTCCTATGGCATTCAAGTCTGAGGCAAGTTTCAATGGCCACAAACAAAGTACGCATCTTGACGACAACAGTGTCACTGCAAGAGTGATCTACAAGTGCCCTAGATGTGACACTGTGTTTCATGGTCAAGAACAACTGAATGCCCATCTAACTATGCACTTGAAGGATTCTAAACAAGGGGTCCAGTTCCAGTTCAAGTGCTCAAAATGTAATAAAATTTATGATGATAAACCATCCCTTGCAGCTCACATGAAAGAGCAACACCAGTTCAAGTACAGTGACTTGACATGTGCTTTCTGTTATCATGATTTGTTTAAAGATGCAAAGCATCTTAGATTGCATGTGCAAACCTACCACAATGTAAAGACATCTACAATAAAGAAATCTCCCATTTCTACCCCTAGCACTATAAGAACTCCTGTCTCAGTTCATAAGACGGAAGAGGAGGAGGAGGGAGATGATGATGATCCTACCAAAGTACGATGTTTTGTCTGTAACATTTGGATCAGGTCACAGAAACACTTTGGATCCCATGCTAAAAACCACAGAAAACGTGGCCAGTTTTTGTGTCAACGTTGTAATAATGTGGTTTACAAAAGTAGAGATGAACTGGTGACTCACAAAAGAAGCTGCACAGGCTCTATTTTAATAGAACTAGATGAAAAGAACTCTATGAGGCATGAGTGCAGCTACTGTGATGAGAAATTCAAACAGAAAGAGGTACTTTACAAACATCTGAAACAGGTCCACAGCATGATTCAGCAGTTCCCTTGTCAACTCTGTAGTCTTACTTATAAATCCAATCATAGTCTGAAGCGCCATATTCAAATTATCCATGAGGGCAAAAGGAAGACATTTTCTTGTTGGCTCTGTCAGGAGAAGGGAGTACATACCACATTTGCAAAACGAACATTCTTGGAGAAGCATTTGGTTCAGAAGCACAGGGTTCCTAAAAATGAAGTTGACTTTTCCAAATTGCCCAATATTGACTCTGGTAGACAACTGGAGAAAAGTGGTATTGATGAGGGCGGTGCATGTATGTCAGATGAAACCTCTAAAAGGAAAGCAGACAGGGAAGTTGATCAGCCAATCAAACATCTCAAAGTACAGGGGGACACTACCTATACTTGTGCAAAATGTGATTTTTCTAGTGACAGTGAGGAGGCATTCAAGGCCCACATTCAGGAACACAGACCAGACAAGTCCATCCAGTGTCCAGAATGTGGGATGTGTTTTGTTGTAGTGCCATCTTTGCGCAAACACCTCTTCATAGTACATAAGATTCGATCAGTGGACAAATACCTGGCAGAGAAAAAGATAAGTGAGATTGAGTTAGAACAGGAAGAAGAGACCTCCCCTACAGGGAAAGAGGCTTACAAACAAACCGGAGACTCCTTTGAATGCACAGTCTGTTACAGGACATTTGAATGTGAAGTCACCATGAGAAAACACATGAGAACTCATGGAGTGGCATTTATCAGGTCGAAAAGACTTACAACAGGAGACTTGCCTTGAAAGCCCTCAGAGATTATTTCAGTCCTTCGTTGTGTATGCACATGGTTATAAAAAGATTCACATTAGTCCTAAGAGACATGTCTCTTGCACAATATACATAAGGGACATTGAGAAAGGGCCTGAAATAGATTGATTGGATGATGTATTTAGCAAAGTAACTATTTGCCATTGCAATGACCCTGTATGGTTGTTAAATGGAACAAATATCTCATTAATGATGGGACCCAGTGCTTCAATTTAAACTGTGATTTATTGTGGACAGAAAAAGATTTTTGCACAAACTGAATTGTTATTATTATTATTATTTATTTTATTTATTAATTTATTTTATTTTATATTTATTTATTTATTTATTTGTTTATTTATTTATTTATTTATTTATTTATTTATTTTGCAGACAAGTATAGTCTGGCAAATGATTCAAATTTATTGCTTTTACAGCAGTTATAGTATGGCATTATTTGAGTATTTTTTTAAAAAGTTATTTGGGCCTTATTCAACATATTTTATTGGCCTGTATTTTTAATTTGGTTAGACCGATCTAAACTTGGTCCTAGGTAATCATGCTAAATTGAAAATTATGTTGATATCTGCCAAGTAACTCACCTATGCATTCAGTTATATAAATATATACTACAGTAAAAGCATGTTCAAACATTACAACATTGACGTTGTATGTCATGAATAACCAATATCCTGTGTTTAAACAAGGCTCAATTGAGGGAAAGAGCCGTCATGTATGTACACATGAATTGCTGAATATTTCGTGTGGTAGCATTTGTAATTTTTGTAAATAAATGAAAAAATTCAATCTGCTTATTTATAAGTATTATTGCCCATTCAGGACTAGCCATGACAATTGTTTTTTTTTTTTTTTTTTAAGTATTTCTAGGATGAGATTGTGTAGTTTTCCCCTCCCCAATCCAATAAATATGTTATTCTGTAGTAATTGGATAGTATGTGGGAATTTTGGTGCCATGTATGTGGAAATAATAATCACCAATCCATGTACTAGTTTCACAATCCAGACAAAATTATGTTGTCCTCTTTTTATTTGAAAAATTATTGGAAGTTCAAGAAAGAACTGGGCTTTGCAGCCAAACAGCTGAACCAATTCAAACAGCTGAACAAATGTGTTCAGTAAAATGCTTCTAATATTTAGCAAAATTTTTGATATGCAAAGAAAAATCCATGTACAGATATGAAGAACATTAGTTCCAGAGGAAAAAAACACCAAGCTAAAAATGTCCATATTTATTGTAAAAAAAATCAAGTTGTCAATTAGGTAATATTTACCTATCCTGTAAACATATTTTAATACTCATTGAGTTGCTTCAGTAGGATCTGTCTGATAGATTTCTGACAATTTATTAATTAGTTTGCTTAATTAACAAGTATTATTAACGGAAAAAACGCTACCTTTTGACAAAAGTATATGTTCAAAAAAATTATTTGCACCACTGTTGTGATAAAACTGAAATGGACGCTTTCACAGTCACTGTGACAAAAAGATTTGCAATTGAGCAAAAAAGAATCAACAAATGAGCTGCGCGGATTAAAAAGAGTTTTGTCACACCCTACATCTTTTAAATAACATTAAAAAGAATCTTACTGTTTAAGCAAGAAGACTTGTACATGTAACAGCATTTTATGTTAAAATCAAAGTTAATGTCTAAAAACAGTCACAGTTTTCTTAAAGCTAGATATCGATTAAATTCTCAAATAAATTGTTTTCAACTTATTTCACAAGGTAATTTACAGAAATATGAAAGCATACAAACCATGGATTGGAAATGTTAAAACGTCTCATTTGTTCAAACAAACTCCTCAGAAAACTGTGACTTCAATAACTTAACTTATAATCCCTAAAGATATTTTCCTACTTGTCTAATTGGTATTTTAACAACTTGATCATTTCTTCTGTTGTACAAAATGACATGACAAAGTTTGTCAGAAACTTAACAAGACCACAACACAGTTGATGCAAGAATCATCTGAATTGAGACCCATGGTAAATAATACTGCAAGAGCGTGCCACATTATTACTTTGCCACATGTACACCAGTATGTATTCATTGCATAATTTTAGAAACAACCTGCACCCACATCAAATGAGTCCCTAGAAAATTTCAACATATTTTTTAATCTGTTTGTAAAAAATTCCCATTTTGGCAAAATATGACTTTAGGCTATTCTTCATATACTAAATGAAGGAAAAGTCACCATTTGTCAAATATCCCAAAGTCAAAAGTGTCTGATAATACTCCCTGGTAAACAAAAACATAGAAAGATTTGTGCAAGCTAGGATTACCATTAAAATAATCTAAATTATAAATCAGAGAAATCTTTTGGGTAAGGAAAGAATTTCAAAGTAATACTAATTTGTATCAAAAGTACACATTAACAGTCCTCTCAGGAAATAGTAGAAAAAAAATGGAAGACAAAAATAATGAAAAAGTGAAAAATGTTAGGTTTTCAGTTCCTTGCTTTTCCCTGATCTGCCACCTTCTGTATGGCTGCTTGTACTTTGGCCTCATCAGCTAGATAGTAGTGACGTACTGGACTAAGGTCTTTGTCAAACTCAAAAACTAAAGGTATTCCTAAAAGATGAAAATCAAGCATCTGTGATAAAAAATTGGAAGCATTCACTTTGTTAATCCTGAGAAAATTTGAAAATCCTTTTTGTACAATGCTGTGTAATCCCTGCATCCGTTTTTAAATAGGAAATGCAAATTCCTTCATATTTTGGCAATTAATTTTGCACAGGTCTTTATTTACAATGGAAATGTTGAAGTTTACCTGTTGGAATATTAAGATCAATGATTTCTTCTTCAGGCACTTTGTTTAAATATTTCAGCAATGCACGCACACTTGTGCCATGAACACAGATCAGCACTCTGGATCCAGACTAAAATATAAAAAAACAATGACCATATAATATTTTTAAAGAATCCACACCAACTTTCCAATGTTAAAATTTTTATTCCTTTAGCAAATCAAATTGAAAAAACATTTTCACTAAGTATAAATATACTGTATGTCTGTATGATACTGCATGTAACTCACATTTATGCAAGTCCTTCATGATGATAAGAAATTACAAGGCAGCAAAGNGAAAGGAATCAACAAATGAGCTGCGCGGATTAAAAAGAGTTTTGTCACACCCTACATCTTTTAAATAACATTAAAAAGAATCTTACTGTTTAAGCAAGAAGACTTGTACATGTAACAGCATTTTATGTTAAAATCAAAGTTAATGTCTAAAAACAGTCACAGTTTTCTTAAAGCTAGATATCGATTAAATTCTCAAATAAATTGTTTTCAACTTATTTCACAAGGTAATTTACAGAAATATGAAAGCATACAAACCATGGATTGGAAATGTTAAAACGTCTCATTTGTTCAAACAAACTCCTCAGAAAACTGTGACTTCAATAACTTAACTTATAATCCCTAAAGATATTTTCCTACTTGTCTAATTGGTATTTTAACAACACTTGATCATTTCTTCCGTTGTACAAAATGACATGACATAAAGTTTGTCAGAAACTTAACAAGACCACAACACAGCTGATGCAAGAGTCAACTCAATTGAGACCCATGGTAAATAATACTGCAAGAGCGTGCCACATTATTACTTTGCCACATGTACACCAGTATGTATTCATTGCATAATTTTAGAAACAACCTGCACCTACATCAAATGAGTCCCTAGACAATTTCAGCATATTTTTTAATCTGTTTGTAAAAAATTCCCATTTTGGCAAAATATGACTTTAGGCTATTCTTCATATACTAAATGAAGGAAAAGTCACCATTTGTCAAATATCCCAAAGTCAAAAGTGTCTGATAATACTCCCTGGTAAACAAAAACATAGAAAGATTTGTGCAAGCTAGGATTACCATTAAAATAATCTAAATTATAAATCAGAGAAATCTTTTGGGTAAGGAAAGAATTTCAAAGTTAAAAGTAATACTAATTTGTATCAAAAGTACACATTAACAGTCCTCTTAGGAAATAGTAGAAAAAAATGGAAGACAAAAATAATGAAAAAGTGAAAAATGTTAGGTTTTCAGTTCCTTGCTTTTCCCTGATCTGCCACCTTCTGTATGGCTGCTTGTACTTTGGCCTCATCAGCTAGATAGTAGTGACGTACTGGACTAAGGTCTTTGTCAGACTCAAAAACTAAAGGTATTCCTAAAAGACGAAAATCAAGCATCTGTGATAAAAAATTGGAAGCATTCACTTTGTTAATCCTGAGAAAATTTGAAAATATTTTTTGTACAATGCTGTGTAATCCCTGCATCCGTTTTTAAATGGGAAATGCAAAATCCTTCATATTTTGGCAATTAATTTTGCACAGGTCTTTATTTACAATGGAAATGTTGAAGTTTACCTGTTGGAATATTAAGATCAATGATTTCTTCTTCAGGCACTTTGTTTAAATATTTCAGCAATGCACGCACACTTGTGCCATGAACACAGATCAGCACTCTGGATCCAGACTAAAATATAAAAAAACAATGACCATATAATATTTTTAAAGAATCCACACCAACTTCCAATGTTAAAATTTTTATTCCTTTAGCAAATCAAATTGAAAAAGCATTTTCACTAAGTATAAATATACTGTATGTCTGTATGATATTGCATGTAACTCACATTTATGCAAGTCCTTCATGATGATAAGAAATTATAATGGAGGAATGAAGTGCTGTGTAAAACCCCTCACTGTCATCATGGTCATCATATTACGTACCTTGATCTTTGGGAATATTACATCATGCCAGTATGGAAGAATTCTTTGTTCTGCATCTTTTAAACATTCATGTCTGGGAATAAGTCTTTTGTCAATGAACTGAAATGAATTATATAGATCTAGGCAACTTTATAATAAAAGATTATACTAAAGCTGCCCTTTCTTACAGACCAAGCTCACTGCAGTCTTTTCTTTCATTAAAGCCTTTAAGTTCAAGTTCTGATTTATATTTTTGCAGGCTAACTTGGAAGCAGATAACACAGTTCATGCACAGTTCAATGGCTCCAATATTCATTCAAATGCTTCTGAAAACTACCAATTAAAATTTTCAAAATTACATTCCACTTACCTTGTACCTAGCATCTTCCCCTTGCCAGCCTGGGTCTGAGTCTTCTAAGGGAGGTGGTCTTACATCATAGGCTCTACGCCAAATCTGGTAAACATAAACTGTCAATTTTATCAATTGCTACCACTCCCAATTTAATGTTGATGTATTTATATGGGCACATATACCGTATTTTACACAAATACTGACTGCATTATGAAATTAACACCTAGGACGTATTCCCATAGATTTTAGATCGATCTATCCCTGTGGGGAGTCTCACTAGATTACTGTCAGATAATACAACTTAAATGTCCGTCCCGCCTACTACAAGCTGTAAGGGGGTAATTAACTTTCGTCCCCGCTCGGCTGACAGCTATTTAGCGTGAACCCCCAGGGAGTTAGGTCGATCTAGTTTGGATCATTCTAATCTCTGGGAATGGGGTTATAGAGTCAATTATGTACAAAGTGTTTATGTCTGTGCTTGTTTCGTGTTATCCACATTGAAGAAAAAATCATGTGAATATGTAATGCAACTTTTCATAGACTTTGTTTATGTCTTGTTCAGATTTCATGGTCTGCAAAAAATGTGTTTAAAGCTCACACTGTAGTATGTTAGCAGCTGGAGTCCATCAGGTACTTTCTCAGAAAACATGTTTTGTTTAAAACCACACAGTAAGCCCATCTGAAACACTAGATAATGTGTGTGTTATCATACCTTTACTTGTTCCTCTCCAAACAGAGCAGCTGTCTCTGCCTTATTTTTGCCTTGTAATGCCCCATAGTGTCTCTCATTGAGTCGCCAATGTTTGAATACTGGGATCCAATGCAGGTCAAGCTCATCCAACACAATGTTCAAAGATTTAACAGATCTTTTCAGAACACTGCAGAATGCAACATCAAAGGTAAAACCCTTTTCTCTCAGGATCTGAAATATTGAGAATTTTAGTAGTAGGAAAGACCCTAACGTATTACCAAAATTATAACGAACAACCATACTCTAATTGACATGGTGATTTAAAATGTAATAATATAGCAGAAAACACAGAAAAGGCAAGTGAAATAAGACATCACTTACTGTTAACATTTAAATGTTGTTAAAACAACTAAGAATGCCAGGTTTTGAAAACTTAAACATCACATCTTGATACCAAGAGAATAATAATAACTTAAACTGCATATACCCTGCCTGCTGTTTTTGCTTCCTGATGTCCAGTGTCAGCTAAGTCTGCATCCACCCAGCCACAAAATTTATTGTCCTTATTCCAAATGCTCTCTCCATGTCTCAGTAACACAAGAGAAACAGCTCTGCAGTTGTGATTATTGTCAGTCATGACGTCTAAATTCTTCAACGAATCAACAAATGATCTGTTTTTGGTTTTGTTTCTTATTCTGCAATGAAAGTTATTGAAAAATGTTGACAAAAATTACAAGAAAATGTACCTATGTATTTGCTCAGAACACAGACCTGCAGGAATAAGCAAAATATAGCTAAATAGCTAGCAAAATAAAACCGTGATCTGGGTCACACTTAAGGTGAATGTAGTGCATATTAACCTCCATATCTGTATCAAATCATATCCATATAATACATAATCACATACTGAGTGGTCTACTCAAATGACAGATAAAGGGACAATGTATTTGCAAGGATAGGCGACCATGGAATTAAGATGAAGGTGTAACAAAAGACTGTCTGTCTTTAATGTGGAAAAAGGGCATCTTGGACATCTGGATCTACAAAATTAATGTAAGTCAAGAGGCACTATAAGGGTAGTACCCTCAAAATCAATATCATGCTAGTAAAGAATATATTATAGAAATATGCCTACACTCATCATTAACATACATGTCAAGAAAAAGTTAATGAACATACCTGGATCAATGCTTTGCAGCATTTGAATCAGTTTTTTCTCTTTTTTTTTTTTTTATCAGATTACTTCTTCTCTCCTTGATTACTCTGGTTAAATGGGGTATATGTTCTGGTCTATCCTGTATTACCTTCTGTTACTGTTTTCAGTCCTCTACAGTCTTTAAACTGCCTTTTAACATCCTTTCTTAGAAAAAAAAAAGTATTTTCATCAGATGATGGATTTTTCAACTGGCTTTAAAATAAGGTAGTGCAATCTTTGGCACATAAATGCACTTATTTCATAAAACAACCACTCTGCATTCTTTGTAGTTTGACATTTACAGATCTTCATGCTTGCACCGGGTAGCTGACCTACAGATATGGCACTTTACAAGTAATATACAAAATAAAAACAGATAAGCAAACTCACTTAAAAAATCAATGTCTTCATATACCAAAAGCTGTATGACTAATAATATGACCTGCACTATAAAATTGGTTTGTCAATGTCATCCCAGCAGATCTTCAATAAAAGGATTCACACAAAATGTAGGATCATTTATTTTGAAAAAAAAGGGATGCCATAATTATATTTTACAGGTTTCCTACTAAGTGCATGATTGTACATGTACATTCTCATTCCCATGCATCAACTTTATTGGCTTTTAGCCACATTACAGATTGTATGTAAAACTTGGTGTTTGGAAATTTCTTTTGTCAAGTTATCATTATATTTCAAAAACACAGGAGGGTGCTTGGTGTCATGGGCAAACTCATTCAGATATTTACTTGACAAATCTTTGCTGGAGATCACATAAAGCTTATCAACTGACTTGTAAAATTTTCAGTGCTTATTTTGGAGTGGGTAGGGAAAAAGGACCAGACTGAGGATCGAGTCTAGAGAGTAAGTTTCATAAAATAAGATAAGAGGTACATACTGTACATTTTGCCCTCTTTCTACTTATCAATGAAGACAAATTATATCCCCAATCATGGAAAAAAGATCAAAATTCAAAAGAAAGGGTTTACATCTTTCTGTCGATGTTAATTAACACAACAGCCAACACAAAGTCGTATCACTAAATATCAAAATACCAATATTTCTCTGCCAATCAAGATCTGTAGAGGAGAACTACATGTATTTTTGCAGCTGCAACATTCTGAAAATTTTTAAAATTACCGCCCACTTTTGTCATAACTCAGGGGCTGCAAAAATATTTCTGTTACAAATAAACACTGTGTTGAGTTCAAGACAAATGTAATTTGGGGCACAGTATCCAAAAAAAAAAAACAAGTTATTTTGTTGTTAAAAATAAACTTTAAGGTGGTATTTTGGGGTATGTCCTGTTTTTTGTGGCATTTAGTGATACCCAACACAATGATGATAATAAATGTGGGGCTTATAAGGGTATACTACACTGGGTGTGTATTTAATTAAAGCATAACCATTGCAATAAAACAATTTATAAAAAATTTGTCAAAACTCTATGACCAATCACAGTGAAGTGATACTCATCTTTCAATTAAATGTCTTGCCTGGAGAGGACTGGAACTTACAGTTACTCAATATTTTTCATCTCAAAAATGAATGGCAAACTTGAACAATCCTACCCATTGGCTTAATATTTTACTTTAGAGTAAAGAGTTTATACGCTGGAATATTAAGTCCTTTGTTGTCTGTTTATGAAAAAAAAAGGCAGCCCCAAAACAGGGCATTTATATGATTAATGTACTGATAAATTTATCATCTAAATTACTCAAAATGTTAATTATTACCTACATTAGCGGAGTTTTAGGAGAGCTAACGCATGAAATTTTCGTGCCATACCTACATGTACGGTACCTACAGCTGTATCCTATATGAAGGAAAAGTCGAATATGGTAAGCCGCAAGATTAATTTCTGAAAGAAAATGAAAGAAAAAATGCTTCACTTTAAAAGCGGCCAAAGCACATTTCGTTTTACGGGTTTTAACAAGAAAATAGGATACATTGTTCAAGGTGACGATGTATTAACGTTATTTATATGCAAATCAGAACGACAACGGCTAAACCTAATTAACCATTTAATGAGTCTAATTCGGTAACCTTCAAATAAACCTTGACTCTTGTCATGCCTATGGAATTTAGCTACGTAAACATCGCTATCCGTGGTTCTTAAGTTGCATCACCACTCAATACAAGCCCCTCCCCCTCTTTGTTTCGTCCTCTTTCTCTTTCAATTTTTTAGTGCCTTCTATTCGGTACTCCTTTTGTAGAGAGTGTAGCAGAAGCTAAATTTACGCATTATGAACGTTCCGAAGTTTTGCAATGTGCAGGCGTCTTGGGAGATTAATGGCGGTGCAGACATAGCAAAGATTATATCTTATCTTGTAAAGAAGGAATATCAGTCAGAGGAAAGGTATGTGGGGCGTCTGAAGGCCTGTTTAGTTATATTTCTTTCGAGGAACAAAGCCTTCGTACCGCACTGGGGGTAGTCAGCATGTCTTGCCTGGAGAGGACTGGAACTTACAGTTACTTTATAATTAGATACAAATACCAGACATGCGTTGTTTATGAACCTATAGAAAACATACTCTGGTGGTAATAATACCAGCTCAGGGGCTACTAACGTAAAAGCCAAATGCACATTTTATTGGGTCCAAAAAATGGCAAAATGAATAATGTTGTCTATACTGGCTAACTTTAAACAGACACCGTCGCGCTCAGCCGCCACCTTGACAGAATATAAAAACCACATAATAGTGACTTTACTATAAAAATCTTACTTAATAAAAAGGAAAGCACGCTATGGCATTATGATTGACTATAGTGTGGTATTTTGAGGTCGTTTTATGTGGTTTTTAGATTCATTAACCAATCAAGGTGTCTGCCAGGCGTGGACACCTTTATATGCTGACAAGGGGGCTTGTGTGGTAGTGGTGGCATTTGAGGTTATATAACAAAATCTGAAGAATTTCAATTTTATATATATACCTGTATATATAATCGATATATAGTTTTTGATATGTCCAAATAAAGGAATTTCAAAATTTTTTATTTGATTATACCAAACAAATCTGATTAAGTCATATAATATTACTAATAAATTAACTGGCTACAATCAAAATTAGCTTGGATATTAAAATAAAACAATTTGTTTTACTGTCTTTGTTTATTTCCAGTTTCTGTTTGCAAAATGAAGAGGATAACATTGCTTCTGTTGAGTTATATAATGAAAATGAGACAAACATTCCATGTGAATTATCGGTGCATTGTCAGCCAATTCACAACCTAAAAATATCTGACATTTCTATCCTGTCAGAGGCAAAAACAATTGAAATCTATGATGAGACTGGTGCTTATATGACCTCATGTAGAGGATCATATGTTAATGATGTGGAAGGAAAACCTATGTTCTATGCAGATTACAGTTGGCAGCAGCCTGCATCTTCAGCCATGTTAAGAGTATGTATTTTTACACATCCCTGAAATGATGTGCCTGTATGTGTTATTTCAATCTTTACATAGGCTCACAGACATTAATGTTATGTTCTCATCAGATTCGGTTTAAACCAGGAATCACTTAATCATCCTGATGGGGGTTTCCATTGCACTTAAAAAAAACCTTGATTGTCTTCTTCATAGAGTAATACCAGTTTCTGTATTAAGTTAAACCTAAAGAGAACAAGACTATAATAAAAAAGATAGTAATTGTATATTTTCACTTTTTAGAGAAGAATCAATTTCAAAGATTTCTTTTAAAGATGTCTCTTTTTTTTCTTGTTTACATTTGGTTTGACATAATGAAATGCTTCATTTAATTATTGTAAACCATCATTTCTTTTCAGTGTTTATCTTTGCCAAGAAAAACAGCCATGAAAGTGGTTGCCCTAGAGATTTCACTAGTTAAATCCAAGGAGACTTCATCTACATCTTTAGGGACATCTTTTGATTTTACCAAGGTGAAAGCTCTCCTCCAGGACATGCAACAAGATGTTCCAATAACAGACAAGGCAAAGGCATGTATGCAGACCATTGAGCAATATCAGGAGGTTAGTAGTGGCTGGGAGAGAGTCAAATTAAATATTTTACTGCAAATATGATGCTTCACAGAATAATTGTGAGACCATTGAAAAATATTAAAATCTTTAAAAGGAAAATAATTTGAAGTGTGCGGTGGCCCACAAGTGCACTCCAAATTCCAAACGACACTCCCAATTCTAAACCTCTCGCCGAATATTTAAACTTCACTCTCAATTCTTAAACCTCACTCCGAATATTTAAACTTCACTCTCAATTCTTAAACCTCACTCCGAATATTTAAACTTCACTCTCAATTCTTAAACCTCACTCCGAAT